TGAGTTGCAGGGTGATGTGGCTGCTGGGTTTAGGTAAGAGCAACAGGCCAGGCGCCAGCCAGCAGTGAATGGCTGATGCACACCTCCTGAGAATTAAAGCAGCACGGGGCTTTTCTGCACTCGTTTCATTCAGGTCCTTAACTCTTGCAAGAGTGCCTTGACGCAAGCTGCTGCCCGCGTCAGTACCTGTGCTGAATGCTGTATCATCACCGTCCACGTCTCGTGGTCGTCAGTGCTCGGGGAGTATGGCTGCCCTGTGTTGGGTGAGCAGGAGGTCGTGTGCTGCCAGTCCAGCACGTCTCAAAAAGCTGTGTGAGGATTTACATTGTCGAGTCACAGAGCTGGAATATCCCTGTCTGTGTGCGGCAGAGCCAGAATCGGGAGACAGGGCGCAGCTGAAGGAGGAAGAGGAGGAGGTGGGGGAGGAGGAGGAGGAGGACGAGGACGAGGAGGAGGAGGAGGAGGAGGACGAGGACACTGGGGAGATGGAGGGCGCAGAGGAAGATGGGGGCCAGGCGGAGGACAGCGGCTCGGATGGCAGGCAGCCGCGCTCCGGCACCTTCGGCGACCGCAGCGAATCCCGCGCCTACGGCTCTGTCACACACAAGTGCGAGGTGAGGAGGTGCTCTATTGCAGCCGCGTCGTCGGGCGCTGGGGCCTCGCTGAGTGTCTGTCTCTCACTGTGTGCTCCGGCCCAGGACTGCGGGAAGAAGTTCACCCACACGGGGAATTTCAAGAGACACATCCGCATCCACACCGGGGAGAAGCCCTTCTCCTGCCGCGACTGCCACAAGGCCTTCTCCGATCCCGCCGCCTGCAAGGCCCACGAGAAGACGCACAGGTACCGCGCCGCTCGCGCTCTCCCTCCCCGGCCCGGCCCCTCGCAGGGCAGCAGAGGAGGCTCCTTGGCGCACTAACTTGTGGGAGCTGAAGGATCATGGGGTCTGCCCGGCTGCTGCTTGAAGGGAGTCAGGGTACCGGCTTCAACTACGTGGCTGGGCTGCCTGTTCCAGACTCCTGCCACCCTTTGTGTAAAAAAGTGCCTTCCGTTCTCAGTTTAACATGCGCTTCTCTGTAGTTTCCTCTGTATATATTCTCTGGAATATATAAGTATACATCCTACAGTCCTTTTTAGAAGTGGATTTTCCCATCTTATATCTGTAGTTTCTCACTTTGGGCTGCATGAATTGCCTAATTGAGTGTTTGCCCAGTTCCGATTTCTGTCCAAATCCTTTAGAATTCCCTCTGCAGTTTTTCCACTGAGTGTGGTAACCCTGCTGTGTTGCTCCTCTGCCCCTGGGGCTGCTGTGCACTGCATCCTCTTAGATCTCGTTTTGCTTTTGTGAAATGCGTTTTGAGCTGTTTTCAGCCAAGCTGTTTGGATACCAGACATTAGTGTATATGTGCTTGTGCTCGTCTGTCTTTTGACACTTGTGCGCCATCTCCATGTGCTTGTCTGTCCTTGTGTGTCTGTCTGTCGGTCTGTCCTCATGTGAGTCTGTCGGTCTGTCCTCATGTGAGTCTGCTCATCTGTGTGCTGCAGCCCAGTGAAGCCCTACAGCTGCTCGGCCTGTGGGAAGAGCTACCGACTGGTCAGCCTGCTGAACCTGCACCGCAAGCGGCACACGGGGGAGGCGCGCTACAGCTGCGAGGAGTGCGGCAAGCTGTTCACCACCTCCGGCAACCTCAAGCGCCACCAGCTGGTGCACAGCGGCGAGAAGCCCTACCACTGCGACTACTGCGAGCGCGCCTTCTCCGACCCCACCGCCAAGATGCGCCACCTGGAGACGCACGACACCGACAAGGGCCACAAGTGCCCGCACTGCGACAAGCGCTTCAACCAGGTGAGAGCGGAGCTCACCTCAGTCCTGGGAGCGGTGAGGGACAGGACAGGGCAGCCCCAGGTCAGAGGTCAGTCCTGGGAGCGGTGAG